TAAAAGAGGCTGTATATATTACCCCAGAATGGAACAGAGATAAACAGACACGAGATGCTAATCCCAATTTTTCTACAAGAGGTAACTCTCTAAGGGAGTTATTCCCTAAGAAATCAATGGTAGGATATTTTCCAAATACTTCAGAGTATTAAAGTAAACACAAGGCTCTGTGCAATGGCACTCGTCACACTACCATGAAGCTGGCCTTGCCTGGACAGAACGAAGCTGTCACCTGTACCTTTCAGGCATTGGAAGCCTCACAATGATATGACATTTAGTTCCATTGTAGGCCTGGAAAAGCATTTGGTGCTTTAAATAAGCTATATGACTCCAAAGCAATTCTATCCATCAGGCATTATTATTTTTTAAAGATTTATTTGAGAGAGAGAGACAGGGGAAGGGCAGGGGGAGAGGGAAAGAGAGAATCTTCAAGCAGTCTCCCTGCTGAGCACAGAGCCTGATGCAGGGCTCGATCCCATGACCCTGAGCTGAAATCAAGAGTCAGCCACTTGACTCACTGAGCCACCCAGGCACCCTATGCAGCAAGCATTGTTTTCCCCATTTCACAGTAGATGAAACTGAGGCTTAAAGAGTCTAAGTGATTCATCCAATGACACCCAGCAAGTAAGTGTCAGAGCTAAGACCGAGTTAGTTGAGATGTAAAAAATCTTGTTCCTTGGGGTGTCTGGGTAGCTCAGTCAGTTAAGCGTCTGCCTTTGGCTCAGGTCATGATCCCAGGGTTCTGGGATCAAGCCCCAGCATCTGCAGGGAGCCTGCTTCTCCCTCTCCCTCTCCTGCTCCCCCTCCTTGTGCTCTCTCACTCTCTCTCAAATAAATAAAATCTTTTCTAAAAAAATTAAAAAATCTTGTTCCTTGACTTTGTATTCTTTTCTGCATAGACCCATCGTCTTCTGGCAAAACCCAGGCTTTAATTAAGGCTGTTATACCCAGAAACTACAGGGAGGCAGAGAAGGGCTAGGGTTCAAAGGCTATTCAAGGAGTCAGTCTAGTGCAGCAACTGAAGTACAATTGCATAGCTCCAGGATGCAGACCTTCCATCGACTGGGAGAGAGAGCTCTGTGCATGGCCACTGTAATGGCCAGTACCTGGCCTCCCTCTGCAGGATAAACAGGAGACACAATGAGGTCTCTACCTTGATAAAAGTCACTACAGGGAACCTACAGAACAATGATAAAATACTGGAAACAGCACACTAAATTCAGGAACAAGACCAGGACAATGGCCATGGGTGCTTCTATTCAACTTAGTACCTTAGTCTAGCCAGTGCGATAAGACAAGAAAAAACAAATGAGACACCTTTTTGAGGGTAACATTTTTTTTTAATTTTTATTTATTTGAGAGAGAGAAAGAGAGTGAGCATGGTGGTGGGGAGGGGCAGAGAGAGAAAGAGAAGAATGAGCAGGGGGAGGGGCAGAGAGAGAATCACACCCTCCTGCTGAGCAGGGAGCCCAACATGGGGCTCAATCCCAGGATACTGGGATCATGACCTGAGCTGAAAGTAGACACCCCACTGACTGAGCCACCCAGGCACCCCTGAGGGTAACCTGTGATGAATAATATAACTAGCTCTAATTTAAACTCCATGCATCACAGAGCCTTCTCCAATACCCTTCCCCAATATACCACTTTGAACTAACTCTACCCAGTACTATTCCATGCCAGAACACAGCAAAAACCTAGTGGGATATGCACATTTCTAAATCCCTTATCTCTTCCTGGCTCACATCTCAGGTGTTTGTTTGTTTGTTTGTTTGTTTTTACCATTAAAAAAAAAGATTCTGAGAGAGAGAAAAAGCATGAGTAGGGAGAAGGGGCAGAGGGAGAGGGAGAAGCAGGCTCCCTGCTCAGCAGGAAGCCTGATGACTCTGAGATCATGACCTGAGCCGAAGGCAGATGCTTAACCAACTGAGCCACCCAGGTGCCCTGAAGAATGTGTTTTGTTTTTTTTTTTAAGATTTTATTTATTTATTTGACAGAGACAGACACAGTGAGAGAGGGAACACAAGCAGGGGGAGTGGGAGAGGGAGAAGCAGGCTTCCTGCTGAGCAGGGAGCCCGATGTGGGGCTTGATCCCAGGACCCTGGGACCATGACGTGAGCCGAAGGCAGACGCTTAACAACTGAGCCACCCAGGCGCCCCATGACCATTGTTTTTTATTCAGATTTATTTTCCCCTAAACCTCCAGTTCACTTTCTAAGTTTGTTTTTTTGTTTATTTAAGTGATCTCTACACCCAATGTGGGACTCCAACCCATGACACCGAGATCAAGACACATGCTATTCCAACTGAGCCAGCCAGGTACCCCTCCAGTTCACTTTAATACCAACGATATCTCCCTTCTCCATGTGTGTACCAGTCTCTCATACATTTCCTAGGGGAAATTGGAAAGAGCTGATAAAGTAGATCTCTGATCCAGCTTTTTATGGTGAGCTAAGCTGAAAAAAGGTCAAGATGTGTAGCCTTGGCTACTATCTGGGTAGAATATAAAAAAGAATTTTATCAAAACAGTTACATATTCATAGCTGAAGGCAGCATGAGGATGGAAAGAAGTAGGGTTTTGAATGAGACAATTCGAGTTTGGATTCTGGTGCTGCCACTTACTAGCCTTATGTCCTCAGCCTTGTTGGACTCCTAGTCTGTAAAATGGAATGATTCCCCATGCCACAAGGCTAATCTAATGAGATGCATACATGACCTAAACACATGAAAGCCCTGATAAACTTGCCTTCTGGACTACGGCAGACACTTCAATTCCTCCACACAACTCCCTCCTTTCTAGTAGCACCCCCATTTCCTTCTGATGGCCATAGCACGTGCTTAAGGAAAGCCTGTCCCTAGCCCCAGCTCCAGGGCTATTTTCTGGTTGATCTGAGCCAATCATAGACCAATTTCCTTTGCCATGATTTCAATGTGGGTTCAAGAAGCAATTCTGCACTAATAAGATATGAGGTAAGTCTGCTTTGGCTGGAAGCTGAGTTTTAACTTAAAAGGACACAAGGACCACGTTCCTGCCTGTAGATATTGTCATGTCTGGGTTGATGTTCAGAATGGCTACACCCAGGCCTTAACAAGGAGAATGAGCTTGAAGACAAAACCAACACAAAAGGAGAACAAAGCAGAAAGAGAAAAGGGGCTTTACACCCCTTCACACTGAGCCACTGAATGAGCCAATCTTGGACTTCATGTAATTGGAGATAACGTCCTTATTGTTGTAGCCTCTTTCAGCCTGATTTTGTTACTTGCAGCAGACAACAGCCTCCATGATACATGGACCTTTTGCCTGAGAGTCTTTGGGAGTTCAGGTGCCTGACTTAAAGTCATCAAGTGCTAGCCCACAGTAGGGACCCAATATTAATTTTGTCTTATCTCAAACATGGGACATACAAGAATCCTCTCTAGAAAGATACATAAAAAGATACTTTGGGGACTTAATGACTGTCTAGGTCAGAAGAAAAACATTCCTGCATTCCTTCTTTGCCACCTTTAAAATGCACGAAAGCCCACCCACTCATGTAGTTAACCATTACTGAGCTCCCAGACTATGCAAAGAGCAAAAGAAAAATTGAAATGGATCTTGAGCTCAGGGTGCCTGGGTCGCTCAGTCGGCTAAGCATCTGCCTTCGGCTCAGGTCATGCTCCAGGGTCCTGGGATCGAGCCCCGCACGGGGCTCCCTGCTCGGCGGGAAGCCTGCTTCTCCCTCTGCCTCTTCTCCTCGCCCAACTTGTGCTCTCTCTCAAATAAATAAATAAAATCTTTAAAAAAAAAAAATGGCTCTTGAGCTCATGGGCAACAAATGCACAGGAAGATGAGTGGTAGAGAGAGGTTCTGATGTCTATCTAGACCATACTTGATGCATAAAAAGGGAGGCTGTCAGGGTGAGTGTGCACCAGTCACAGAGGCCGACGCCATCAGCAAAGGAAGCCAGAGGTGCTTGGGCACAAGAGGCAGCCTGGCCCGAGGCACGCAAGGGGGACTGCTCAGTGCAGTGTGCCCCGAGTGGCGTGTGCAGGGGCAGCAGGCAGTGCGAGAGAAAGCTCTGGTCTGAGAGCAAGGTCTGAGGAGGAAGCAAGCTGTGAGGGACAAGGTCCTGCAGGATGTCACAGGTGGTCTGGAGCAGCAGCGAGGCCACGTGGTGATGGCCCTGGCACCCTGAGCTGGGGTTAGGACCTGGTGGGAAGACTGCTGTGCAGATGGGAAACTAAAGGCAACACGGAGATCCAAAGAGTCTGGCTTAGGAATCAGGAGTCCTAGGTTGCTGCTTTGCCACGGGGACCGTCACTTCTCTTTGGGCCTCAGCTTCCCTCTGTTAAGTGACAGGGTGGGGCACATGGTCTTTACAGGCCTCTCAGACCCCATTATTCCAGGGTCCTGACTCACCACATAGAGGGAACATGGCAGATCTGCCCAGGGCAGAGAGGGCAACCAGGCTCCACCTCGAATGCCCACTCCAACTAGGAGGTCATGCCTGCCTGGAGGGCCGTGCGGAGAAAAACTGCAAAACACTCCCGAGTTCCACAAAAACAGAATGCTTGGGAGATTGGTGAGACCCCCCCCCTCACCGGGGCTCAAAATGCTCAAATGGTAGGAGTGGCAGGGATTTGCCACCCCCTCGCTTAACGTCCTGTTTCCTATGATGGTTGCAGAAATGAGCCAACCACTCATGGTATGAGGATATGGAAGGTTCGTTTCTCCTGGGGTCCTTTCTGCAGGCAGCAGGGCCAGCCTCCCCCCAGTCCTAGGCTCCCCAACCCTTTCCTCACGCAGGCAGATACCCTGGAGCCGGTCTGCCGCTCACTCCTGATCCTCCATGCTTCCTGCTTCTGTCTCTGCTATGTTCATCATCTCATGTCCTATCTTCCCCCCGGAACTCTGCCCCCTCCTATTCCTGCAGCCAAGACACAACTAATTAATCACGACAGGCTCTCTAACCGAGAAAGGCGAACTTCCTTTAAAAAATGTGGACAGTAAACAATTCTGATCATTTCTCTACTTTGCCTTTTTATTATTCCTTCCCTGGTGTCCTCCTCTCCCCCCCAGCGAGGGCTACAGCTCTCAGATGGACGGCCACAGTGCCGCTAACAGACGGGGGGTTATTTCATACACTAGGGCACCAGGTTGTGGTACAGCTGTCAGGAAGAGAAGGGGAATTACATTGCATCTCAGAGCCACCGGCAATGAACTTCTGCATAAAGGACTAGATTTGCCATGTATTATTTACGCCAGCATCAATTTTCCCAGCTGCCTCTATTTACTGTGCAAATTCTCTCCTGTCTGTTTATGGGCAAGGCCATGGTTCAGCACCTCTGGCTGTGAGGCACCTCTATACTGTGGAGGGGCCCTACAGGGCACCATGCATAATAAACAGATAGCTGGATTCACTGTGGCCACATCCTCCCTTCCTGTTAAATTATATCCCTGGGACTGCAGCAAGTTCACAGTCTCACCTAGTCATGGTGATGCATGCAGGTGCGTGAAACCAAATAAGCAAGAGGAAAAAAAAGGAAGAACTGTTCTTTGGAACCTCACTAGGGGAAACTGAAAAACACCCTTCTGGGGGGAAATCAGGTGGCTCTGGGGCTCAAGGAATTTCCCGTTTGTATTTTTAAGAGCATGACATGGATAAAGAAGGGCTTTGCATTTACAAGGTTGCTTCCACCCAGTAACTCAAAGACAAAGCTAGGGGAAAGGGAGCTCCATCTTACAGATGGAAAAACAGAGGCAAAATAAAAAAGAGAGAGAGAAGCAGAGGCTTCCGGGCTCCGTCACTGTGTGAGGATGGAGCGTGGGTAAGATGGTGACACACAGGGTTCTGTCCGGTCACTAGCAGGCCTCTTCAGAGAGGCCGGAGGCCAGGGTGAACTCTGCTCACAGGGAAACACATATGATAGAAACAAGGAAGAAAACTTGGCACCAGCATGAGTTTCTGGGTCCTTCCACCACCAAATCCTCTCTTGCCTGTAGCTCTGTTTCCACAGAAACAGAAGCTGAGGAAAGAGAGATGTCTCTTGGGCCCGCCCAAGAGCTTCTGCTGCAGTCCCAAGTACCGGGTGGCAGTGACCAGCAGCTGCTAGTGTGCAGAGAGGTGGGGCGCTTGACGCCCCCCCTTCCCAATCAACAGCACAGTCATATCTGATCTCCCTGGGATGCTGGGCTCTGCTCTGGAGGCGCCCAGGTCCCAAGGTCTACCATCTCCTGGAAACCTGTTGGCTGGAAGAAGACAGGAGGGAACGGTAAGTTTTCGAGTTAAGCAACACAAGCAGGCAGCATCTTTGGTTGCCGGGTCTCAGCGTCCAAGAATTCCTCTATGAGACATCTGGGCACACAAACACCCTCAAGGGCCCAGATCCCTGGCTTTCCCCTGTGGCCAGCTCACCAGACGGGGAGATTTGGTCAGACATGCCCTGCGCTGACTGCCCGATGCTCCTGCTCCTTCGTCAATGTCCAGGAGAATCCGGGTGCTGGGTACAAAGCTCCAGGAGCGTCCGAGGGCAGGTCTGAGCTCTCCACTGTCTCTGTCTCGGGTCATGTGGTTGGTTACCTGAGGCAGAAAGAAGCAAAGACTTCTAGATTGATAATGCTGGGGTAGAGGATATCTGTTCCTTCTGCTTCATTCTACAAGTGGGAAAAGTGAGGCCCAACACAGAGAAAGGACTTCCCCCAAGACTCCCTGAGTTATTGACAGCTGGTCTGGAACTAGAACCCCAGGTCCTCACTCGTGCTCAACTCTTTCCCGAAATCACCATGCCTCAGGCTTGACTCCAACAGAAGGTCATAGGGCATAGGTCCGGGAATAAGCATCTCTGTCTGCACTTTGCTGGAGGGAAGATAGTGGTGGGCCTGCACCTCCTACACCCCCAACCCAGCAGACAGGCATTCTGAGACTATACCACCCAGCCCTTTGTGGCAGGGAGTACATCTGCCTGTAGGGGGTCATGGGAGCTTCGAAAGGGAGGTTGTAATCTGGTCAGTCAGTTCTCCGGTGCCCAGGATAGTCATAGGTAGGCTACCTGAGCCTCACAGCATCCCTTGATGAGAGTCTCCCCACCAGCCCCCCAACCAGGGGCAGGGGGCTGCAGCTTGTTCATCACTGAGTCCCCACTGCCTAAGCCAGGGCCACAAGCAGGTGATCATGTACAGCCTGAAGTCAGGAGAGGGAGGCCCTGGGACTCAACTTAAGAACAAAAGAACACTGCTGGTGGGTGTACGAATTAGTATAACCTTCCTGGAAATTTGGTGGTATACATTTAAAAATGTATGTATTCCCGGGGCTCCTGGGTGGCTCAGTTGGTTAAGCGTCTGACTTCAGCTCAGGTCATGATCTCAGGGTCCTGGGATCGAGTCCTGCATCGGGCTCCCTGCTCAGCAGGGAGTCTGCTTCTCTCCCTCTGCCCGCCCCCCACCCCCCAGCTCATGCTCTCTCTCTCTCTCTCTGGTTCCCTTTTTCTCTCTCAAATAAATAAGTAAAATTTTTAAAAATAAATAAATAAAATAAATTTTAAAAAATGTGTATCCCTGACTCTGTAATTATACTTTTAGGAGTTTGAGAAAATAATATGAAATGTGCAAAGAAATTTAGGTATCAGGGTGTTCACTGGAGTTTTACTTAAAGATTTATATATTTATTTTAGAGGGAGAGAGCAAGCATGTGAACAGGGGAGGAGGGGGAGAGGAAGAATCTCAAGCAGACTCCCTGCTGAGCATAGAGCCCAGTATGGGGCTCGATCTCACAATCCCGACATCATGACCTGAGCCAAAATCAAGAGTCCAACGCTTAACCAACTGAGCCAACAAGTGCCCCAGAGTTTTACTTAAAACAGAGGAAAACCAGGGGTGCCAGGGTGGCTCAGTCGGTTAAGTGTCTGCCTTCTGCTCAAGTCATGATCCCAGGGTCCTGGGATCGAGCCCCATGTCGGGCTCCCAGCTCAGCGGGGAGCCTGCTTCTCCCTCTCCCTCTGCGTTTCCCCCTACTTGTGCTCTCTCTCACTTGCTCTCTGTGTCAAATAAATAAAATCTTTTAAAAAAAATTATAGAACACTTATAAAAAAATTAAAAAGAAAACAAAAGAGGAAAACCAGTAATGACCAGAAGGCCCAAATCAAGAAATAGATCATTATGGGATACCAGGGTTTGGCAAACTACTCCCGACCGGCCAAATGTGGCCCCAAAATTATTTCTGAAAGTCAAGTTTGGCTGGAACATAGCCATACCCTCTGTTTAGGGCCTCTCTGTGGTGGCTCTCACGCAATCTAGGCGGAGCTGAGTAGCAGTGACAGAAACCATATGGCCATAAAGCCTCGACCATTTACTCTCTGGCCCTTTAGAGAAAAGTTTGCTGACCCCTGTACCATAGGTATTAAATAAAATATGTAACTGCGAAAAATGGCATTCTTAAAGCATCTATTTAAAGACATGGGAAATGGAGTGAGATGAGTCGGGTTTTTTTAAAACACGGTTACAGTTGAGTTGGAAAGCTGGTTAAAAGTACACACATATACGTAGAGAAAAGAGATTCTACGGAGATATATAAAAACATGAGTATGTTTTCTGTGGATGTGGAGATTTACTACAAATTTGACTCCTATATTTAACTATTTTTTACCCTATGAGAAGCATGCAGACTTTAAAAAAAGTCCTCCGTAAGCAGAAAAAGTTACTTCGGAGGCAAAAACATCCCTTTCTATGAAGCACTGGAAAAGGCAAAACTATAGGGACAGAAACCAAATCAGTTGTTGTCTGGGGCTTGGGGACCTTTTTGGGGTAACCGAAATATTCTAGATCTTGACTGTGCCTTGTAACAAGAGCAGATACGTTAGTAACTGTTAGCCAAACTTCAAATGAGGAGAAAGTTACTGTGTGTGAGTTATCCTTCAATAAACCTGTCTTGAAGTAAAAAGAAAACCAAGACTGTCCCTGACCCCTTGGCTATTTATGTCCGATCCCATCACAGTCCAGGGCTCTAGATGGCCCAGGGAAGTTGGGCTAAGATCCTTTCCTAAAGGGCCACGTTGGGGGTTAAGTTGCCATTTAAGTAATGTAAACAGCTGGAACTAGAACTCGAAGTCAGGTCCCAACTTGGCAAAGCCCAGGGAGCAGAGATAAGACCAGCAGGCTGGCGAAGCCCACATCCTCACCACCACCGCCATGCCAAGGTCCCGGGCCAGGGTCTTCAGCTCTCGGGCCAGCTGCATCATCAAGGCCAAGCCTGGAGGAGGAGAAGCACAGGGTGAGGGCAGCAGGGCACCTGGGACTGGGCTGACCGGGGACTGCATTCCCGAGCTGGGAGGCAAGATCACGTCCCGGACCTGGGCTCTGCCGCACCTCTTACCTTCCCTCTGCTGACCTCCCAGAAGTGGGGAGACCACCGCAGTGACCGAGTCCACAACCACCACCTTCACCGTCACGGAGGCACTGCTCACCTGGGGAGAAGCAGAGGCCATAAACCAGTTGGCCTCTAGGGAGCGTCCAATATAGGGCAAGCTTGCTCCTCTATCAGAAATCTGTAAAGGGGGCGCCCGAGTGGCTCAATCGGTTAAGCATCAGCCTTTGGCTCAGGTCAGGATCCCAGGGGCCGGAGATTGAGCCCCGCATTGGGCTCTCTGCTCCCTCTGCCTGCGCTCTGCCTACCTGCCAAAATGAGTAAGTTAAAAAAAAAAATCTTAAAAAAAAAAAACTGATAAGAAATAAGTTCTCCAACCCCAAATACAGCTGTGCAGGCATCATGGAATTTCACTAAGGTCTTTTTTCCCCATCTCCATTTGTAGGTATAATAGATTTTACTGAAGGCTTGGGTGGATAGAGGGGGTTTGAATCACAGGACATCACAGATACACGAAAATAATTAAATTTGAGAAATCCCTGTTCCAAGTTCTGTGGCCCCAGTCACGAATTTTCTTTCTTTTCTTTGTTTAACTTATTTTTAAAGTAATCTCTACACCCAACTTGGGGTTTGAACTCACAACCTCAAGATCAAGAGTCACATGCTACACCCACAGAGCCGGCCAGGCCCCCAGTCCTGAATTTTTTTTAGGATTTTTTTCCCTAAAGTTTATTTATTTATTGATTGATTGATTGATTGAGAGAGCTCACACGCGTAGGGGAAGGAGAAAGAGATGGAGAAGGACAAGCAGACTATCCCAGGCCCTATCCCAGGACCCTGCGATCACAACCTGAACCGAAATCAGGAGTTAGGTGTTCAACTGACTGAGCCACCCAGGTACCCCAAGATTTTTTTTTAAAGTAGGCTCCACACCGAGAGTGGAGCCCAACACGGGCTTGAACTCAGGACCCTGAGATCAAGACCTGAACTGAGATCAAGAGTGGGATGCTTGGGGTGCTTGTGTGGCTCAGCTGGTTAAGCAGCCGGCTCTTGATTTCAGCTCAGGTCGTGATCTCGGGGTCCTGGGATCTAGCCCCACACTGGACTCCCCACTCAGCAGAGATGCTCCAGGATTCTCTCTCTCTCCCTCCCCCTCCTTCTGCCCCTCCCCTCACTCATTCTCTCTCATGCGCTCTCTCCCTCAAATAAATAAATCTTTAAAAAAAAAAAAAAAAAGGCGTGGGATGCTTAACTGACTGAGCCACCCAGGCACCCCCAGTCCTGAATTTTCTTAGCGGCCATCTTTCTTATGGCCAGCCTTCTCCACCACCATCTTGCCAGGCTCTTCTCCCTCTTCTGCTTCCTTTCCAAATTCCTAACTCCCTGTGCTGAAGGGGTTAGCCTTCTCTTTACTTCAGTCTCCTTCTAGATCATGCCTCTAGGGCCTCATCTTCCGCATCTAAAGCAGTTCCAATACAGACCATATAGACAGCCATCTGTTAAAACCATCATCTTTTGTCTCCAAACATGCATTAGCATCATTCTAGTTTCTTGGACCTAACCTCCCTTACTCTTTATGTCCAAGTCATTTGCTGATTCTGTTTCCACAATGTTCTTTCTCACTTCATGCGGGCCAAATCTTGGATTTTCGGCATAATCTGGTCTTTTGCATGTCTTCCTTCATTGTCCAGTTACTGACTCTCATGTCATCCACTCATCTAAGACAGGATGGCAGAAAAGAAGAGAAGCTAAAACTGAAACCAGCTTAGCTCTTCCGCACTCTGGGAGAGCAGGTTAAAATCTCTGGCTAAAATGCGGACAGCCGGCCTTTCACTGCTGGTAACTATGGAGCTGTCAGGTCGTCCGTGGCAGACAGACCCGAAAGCGGCCCCTTGACCTCCACCTCCAGGTATTCAAGCCTTGTGTAATCCCTTCCCCCAACCGTGGGTGAGTGCTGCGGCTGGCTTCTGACTGATACAGTGTCAAAGGTGCTGGAATGTCACTCTCTTGATGAGGCTATGCTATATGGCAGAGGTGATGGGACGTCACTCCCAAGATTACGTTATGTTACATGAAACTGCATGTTGCATTTTGCTCTTTCTTTTTTTTAATTTAACTTATTTGAGAGAGAAAGAGTGAGAGCACGAGTGAGGGGAGGAGCAGAGGGAGAGAGAGAGAGGGAGAAGCAGACTCCCCACCAAGCACAGAGCCCAACGAGGGGCTTAATCCCAGGACCCTGAGATCGTGATCTGAGCCGAAGTCAGAGGCTTAACCGACTGGGCCAGCCAGGTGCCCCTTGCTCTCATCCTTGTGCTGTTTTGATGAAGGCCGTGCTGTGAACTGCCTATGGGAAGGGCCGCAGGGCAGAGGACAGTGGGAGCATGGACAACTGCCAGCAAGACACTGAACCCCCTAGGAAATGAGTCCTGGTGACAACCTGAGTGAACTTGTATGCGGATTCTTCCCCACTTGAGCCTCCAGATAAGAACACAGTCCAGCTGCCATCTTGATTACAGACTACTGAGATCCCAACAGAAGCCCCAGCTAAGCCGTGCCCAGACTCCTGACCCACAGAAACTGTGAGGTAGTAAACGTGTTGTTTTAAGTCATTACGTTTGTGGTAACTTGTTATGCCATAATAGAATATATACTATCATAATGGTCTTCCAGTAAAAAAACACATCATTTGACCTGGGAGTTGAGAGATTTAGTTCTTATCCTAATTATGTAGTGACTTTGAGCAACTTACTGAACTTCTCTGGTCCTCACTCTCCCCATCTCTAGAAATGAGAGGGCTGGATTAGATCGGGGCTACTTGACTTCATGTCTCAAAACACACGGGTCATAACCAGCTACAGCTCCTATGGCAAGTATCTGTTCAACTATTAAGTGTTCTAAAGTTTGTAGAAATCATTTACTTTACACACGGTCTTGGGTATGCCCATAGGAACATGTTATGCTTTGGGATCTGAGAAAGTTTAACAAGAGTTGAGCTATTCTAAGATGTCTTTCTAAATCTAATAGCCTGTAAATGAGTGCACCAAATCCTAAGCACCCAGCAGGTAAGATGGGGTACCAACCCAAATGCCACTCTAAACCCCTCTTCCTTGTTAACAGGATTCTGGATGTGTTCAGGTAGTGGGCAGAAATCTGATGTCATGGAAGGTGGGCCCAACCCCTAGTCTAAGATACACATAAAACTCCATTTTGGCCAACTAGATGTAAGGCGAAGCCTACTAGTGGGTTTTGGAGAAAGATTTTTCTTTCCTGATAAAAGGGAAGAAATGCAGAAAAGGGGCCATCTATTACTGCCCTGAATACGGGTGTTGATCTGCGAGGACGTGATGCTTAGAGCTATAGCAGCCACTTTGCAATCACGAAGGGGAAGAGCAAGAGAATCAGACACACCAACTGGAGCCCTGATACCATGGACCTGCCAACCTCCAGACTCATGAGAGATAATTAAATGGCCTCAAGGTTCAAGTGCCTGTCACACAGACTCTATTACTTGCAGCTGAAAGTAATCCTCACTGATCCAGGAGGGATGAATGCAGAAAAGAATACGACATGATCCTTGCACTCAAGGGTCTTACTGTTTAGTGAGGAAGATGGGCAGGTAAACAATGAGGCACTCAGGAAGGAATTAAGCATCCAGGAATCCCATCCCATCCTGTGGCAGGCACAGCTGGAGTCACCAGATGGCACATCTGCATTTCCAAACAGTCTGTCCTAGGACACCTGCCCACATGCAGACAGCGCTGACAAGCTGGGTGAAGCAGGGAGGGGCAGAACAACAGGCTCACCTGCTGGGACATGGCACCCCGGAAGTCCTGTAGCACGTCCAACATCTGGAAGATGTCAAACGCACGCACCACCTGGATCCTCTGGAGAGCTCCTGCCTAAAGGGGTAGGAAGGAGAAGGAGGGGCTTTGGATAAGAGGGAGCAGGGGCTCAAGCAAGATAAAGAGGGATTTTAAAGCTGAGCAGAAAGAGACCCCTAGACATAAGGACTCTGGTCCAAGATGGCAAGTGGGCTTTTTCTCCGGGGCCAGTTCTCACAGTGGTGGCTGCCTGGGTGCCAAGCTGCAAAGCCAAGTCACAGCTCAGTGGGAAAGTATGGCAGGTCTGATTAGGAACATCTGCCATGGCAAATAATGGGAAGGAAACACAGATGCCGCGTGCCTGCCAGCCCTGAGTTAGGGTGTGCAAGGAGCTGGGTCACCTGGGAGATCAGTGTGGGTAGCATCCAAGCTGGGATAATGTCGTAACAGGAAGAATTGAAGAACACAGGAAGAATTAATATAACAGCACATTTCAAAGCCAGAAATGACTGTTCATCCAAATGGCCAAAATTCTTGCAATATAAGGGATAATGGGGTCTTTCTGTGTCAGAACCTCAAAGGAACTCAAGCCTCCTGCCCCTTACCTGCTCCTCCTCATCTGGGGTTCTGGCCTGAAGTAGCTGGAGGATGCGGGAGGCTGTCAGTCCTCCATTGGAATCAATGTACACAACATTCTGCTGTAGGCCATAGGCCACATTTGCAGCCACACAAAGACATACCTGAGGAGACAAGGCATTGGGAGAACTTGAGCCCCCAAAGAAGGCCCAGAATGGGAGCCCCCCACCAAATCCTGTCCAGATCCCAGTGACACGAATTGGCCATATTCAAGCCCCACTTCTCACCACCCATCTCTGAATCACAAGTACATTGGCAGAAGCTCCCCCAGGGATCCAGAGCTATGCACCCACCCTCCCACTTCCTCCCCACCCACCACCCCCCACGTCCTCCTGGCTGCCGGCTGCCCACGTACCTGGGTTTTGCCGCTACCTGGGCCTCCTACAATCTCAGTCACTTCTCCAGTGTAGAGACCCGCATCAAGCAGTTTGTCCAGGCTGATGAAAGAAGAGGAAGGAAGAGAATCAACCCAGCGGACTGGTGGGAACAGAGGGGAGTAGGAACTAAGAAGAAAAGCAAGACATTCCTTCCCAGCACTGCTTCTGTCCAGAGATGGTCTGAACATCTCTAGGGAAAGAGGGCACGGCTACAAGCTCCTCCTTGGGCCCCTCCTCATCTGTTCACGCCAGTCTGAAGATCACTCTGCTCTCCACAGCGGTCTCTGCACCCCAGCAAAGGGTCCTCCTTCCATTCTCGACCTTAATCCCTTACGGGTTTCCTTGGTAGCATTTCCCATAATTTGTCATTATTTATTTATTTATTTAAGATTTTTATTTATTTGAGAGAGAGAGATAGCAAGAGAGAGCAAGAGTGGGGGGGTGCGGGGAGAGGGAGAAGCAGACTCCCCAACAAGCAGGGAGCCCGATATGGGGCTCGATCCCAGGACCCAGGGATCATGACCCAAGCCGAAGGCCGACCCAGGCACCCTCGTCATTTTTTAAACTTTGAAATAATTATAGATTCATAGGAAATTGAAAAAAAAAAAAAAAAAGATTGCACAGGACGGTCCCATGTACCCCTCCCCTCACTTCCCCTAATGGTGGCCTCTTGTACTGTATGACATCACAAGCCAACCGCGGTGCAGTCTACAGAGCTTATCCAGATTTCCCCGGTGTTCCGTGTGTGTGTACAATTCTATGCAATCTTATCACACGTGTAGGTTTATGCAACCACCACAAGCAACACACAGAATATTTCCATCACGATAAGTCTCCCTTGCGTCACCCTGTTGTAGCCACACCCCTCCATCCCACCCCGAATCCCTGGCAACCACCAACTGTTCTCCATCTCTGTTACGATGTTACTTCAAAAGTGTTACATACAAGGAATCACACTGTATGTAGCCGTTGTGGCTGGCTTCTTTGTGGCTGGCTTCTTTTGCTCAGCATCATTCCCTTGAGATCTGTCCAAGTTGTTGTAGCTGTTGCTTTTTATTGCTGAGAAGCAGCCCATGGTATGGATGCACCAAGTTTGTTTAACCATTCACCCACCGAAGTCTGTTTCCAGGTTGGGGCAATTGTGAATCAAATGGCTATGATCATCTGTGTACAGGTTTTTGTGTAAACCTGTTTTTCTTTCTCTGGAATAAATGTCTAAGAATACAACTGCCAAGGGACGCCTGGCTGGCGCAGTCGGTGGAGCGTGGGACTCTCTAACTCAGGGTTGGAAGTTCGAGCCCCACGCTGGGTGTAGAGATTACTTAAAAATAAAATATTAGGGGCACCTGGGTGGCTTAGTCGTTAAGTGTCTGCCTTCGGCTCAGGTCATGATCCCAGGGTCCTGGGATCGAGCCCCACATGCATGGAGCCCTGCATGCATGGAGCCCTGCATCGGGCTCCCTGCTCTGCGGTAAGCCCATTTCTCCCTCTCACACTACCCCTGCTTGTGTTCCCTCTCTCGCTGTCTCTCTGTCAAATAAATAAACAAAATCTTTTTAAAAAATTAAATTAAAAAAATAAAATATTAAAGGGGTGCCTGGGTGGCTCAGTCAGTTAAGTGTCCAACTCTTGATTTTGGCTCAGGTCATGATCTCAGGGTTGTGAGACTGAGCCCAGCATGGGGCTCCATGCTGGGTATGGAGCCTGCTTAAGATTCTCTCTCCCTCTGCCCCTCTCCCCTGTCTCTTAAAAAAAAAAAAAAAAAAAAAAAAAAGAACACAACTGTTGTATGGTAAGCACATGACAATTTTTGTTTTTTAAAATTTAAATTCAATTAATTAACATATAATGTAATATTTGTCTCAGGGGTACAGGTCTGTGATTCATCAGTTGTATATAACACCCAGCGCTCATTCCAACACATATTCTCCCCAATGTCCATCACCCAGCCACCCGATCCCCCACACCCCACCCCTCCAGCAACCCTCAGTTTGTTTCCTATGATTAAGAGTCTCTTATGGTTTGTCTCCCTCTCTGGTTTCATCTTGTTTCATTTTTTCCTCTCTTCCCCTATGATCCTCTGCCTTGTTTCTTAAATTCCACGTATCAGTGAGATCATATGATAATTGTCTTTCTCTGATTGACTTATTTCGCTTAGCATAATACCCTCTAGTTCCATCCATGTCATTGCAAATGGCAAGATTCCATTTTTTTTTTGATGGCTGCAGCACATGTTAATTTTATAAGAAACAATAAACTACTTTCCCAAATGGCTATGCCATGTTACCATCCCCAGCAATGTATGAGTAATCCAGTTTCTCCACATCCTTAACAGCATTTGGTCTTGTCACCATTTTTTGGTGTGGCCATTCTGGTAGGTATATAGTAATGTATCTCATTGTGGGTTGTTTTTTGTTGTTGTTTTTTTTTTTTTTCTATTTTATTTAAAGGGGAGGGAGAGGGACAAACAGACGTGGGGCTTGATCCCACAACCGTGAGATCATGACCTGAGCTGAAATCAAGAGGAAGCAGCTCAACAGCCTGAGCCACCCAGGTGCCCCCATTGTGGTTTTAATTTGCATTTCCCTAAGAACTAATGATGTTTGACATTTTTTCGTGTGATTATTTGACATTTGTATGTTCTCCTTGGTAAAATATCTGTTCCTGTCTGTTGTCCATTTACTAATTGGATTGTTTCACTGTTGGGAGTTTTAAGAATTTTTTTTTTTTAAGATTTTATTTATTTATTTCAGAGAGAGAGCATGAGTGCGGGGAGGAGCAGAGAGAAGAACAAGCCGACTCCCCTCTGAGCAGGGAGCCTGACGCAGGGCTCGATCCCGGAACCCTGAGATCACGACCTGAGCCGAAGGCAGACGCTTCGCTGACTGAGCCACCCAAGCGCCTCTTAAGAATTCTTTATATATTCTAGATGCAAGTCCTTTGTTGAATATGAGGCTTGCAAATATTTTCCCCACTGTACAGCTTGTCTTTTTCTCTTCTGCAGAGCAAAAGTTTTAATTCTGAATTTTTTTATTTTTTTGATTAAAAATTTTATATTTCTTTTACTGATCACACTTTTGGTGTCAAGTCTAAGAACCCTTTGCCTAGCCCTAGTTCTCAAAGATTTTCTCCTCCGTTTTGTTCTAAAAGCTTGACAGTGTTAGGGCGCCTGCCTGGATCAGCTGGAAGAGCATGCAACTCGATCTCAAGGTTGTGAGTTTGAGCCCCACATTAGGTGTAGAGATTACTTAAAATCTTAAAAAATAATCCAGGGGCACTTGGGTGGCTCAGTTGGTTGGGTGTCTGCCTTCGGCTAGGGTCATGATGCCAGGGTCCTAGGATCGAGCCCCGCATCAGGCTCCCTGCTCAGCGGGAAGCCTGCTTCTCCCTCTCCCACTCTCCCCGCTTGTGTTCCCTCTCTCGCTGTCTCTCTGTCAAATAAATAAATAAAATCTTTAAAAAAAATGTTTTAGCAATTCAAAGTCATTGGCTTTTCCATGTAATTATCAGAATAAGCTTTATTTTTACAAAAAAAATATGCTGGGACTTTGGTAGGAACTGAATTAAGTTTATAGGGCAATTTGGGGAGAATTGACATCTTTACTATGCTGAGTCTCCCAATCCATGAATACAGTGTGTCTCTCCATTTATTTGGGTCTTCTTGATTTCTTTCATCAGCAAGTTTTAATTTTCAGCATACAGCTCCTATACCCGCTGTTAGATGTAGACCTAAGTATTTCATTTTCTTTGGAGCAACTGTAAATGGTATTACCTTTTAATTTCCATTTCCACATGTTCGAGTATATAGAAACGCAATTGACTTTTATGTGCTAATCTTGTATCCTGCAGCCTTGCTGAATTCACTTAGTTCTGGGAGTTGGTGATTATTTTCTATGTGCTTGTTTTTGTCTCTCGTCCCCATTTGGCCCAGAGCACCCAGGGGCAAGGACACTGGCACAATGCTGGAAACAGAGGAGACACACAATAAATGTTGCCAGAGAAACAAGCAGTAGAACAGTAGTATTTAGTTACTATATTGTCGACACTCTGGCTGTGGAAGCCTTCAGGTAAACTCAAGACATAGCCAATTCCTAACCCATGTTCTGTCCTTGAACCACCCTGAAACAGGTCACTAACTACACTGTACTCCCTGCCCAACCTGTGGCCTGAACCACAGCCCACACCAATGACTCTGTGTCCTGACCTCACGCATCCCTTTTCCAGCCCTGCAAACACCTTCACGGGGTCCAGTACTCTGAAATGGTTCTCAGAATGGTCTCTCCCATGACCCTTCTGTGTGTGCCAAGCAGCACCTTAGAAAAAACCCCATTGATTCCAATTCCAAGGACCCCCTGATTATAAGCACAGGGCTCCGCCAGTCAAAACACTCCACCTCAGTCGACTGAGCCAGGCAGACAGCCCTCCCCAAGTGATTCTATTGTGCGGACAAGTTTGGGACCCACTGGCCTAGAGCAATAAAGTCAGAATCTCTAAAGGTGGGACCCAGGCATAAATATTTCTTAACCTTCCAGATGCTTCTAACGTGTAGCCTGGCCCACCCCACTGGCGCTGACTCTCCAGACCAGAACCGACCTCATTCTTGGCTGTGAGGACGATGCGGAAGGAATTACCAAATCCGCCTCTCAGCCGACTTCTCACCTGTGCTCCTATTTCACTTCTCCTACTGCCCAGAGGACCCTCCTCCCACTCACCTCTAACTCAGTGGAGACAGACCGCCCCCCACCTGCCTCGCGCAGCAAAACCACACCTGGGCCTTACCACCTGTTCTGAATACAACTGATTTCTGGGACTTATCCTCCACCTTTCCCTTGGAATTAGCTTCTTTTTTTTTTTTTCCCCCGGCCGTTCATTCCAACATGGCCTACATACCTCACATTTCCTGAAGGCCTTACTCTAAAATGAGGGAGATACGGAGATGAACGAGACATAGCTCCGGCCTTCAGGGAACCACTTATCTCCCCCCGTCGATACAACTTTTTGCCAGGTACACTTCATACTCTGGTGTCCTTGTAAAGACTCAGTGCACAACAGGCTCTGAGATGGCCCACAGCTTTTAAAAAACGCGTTTTCGGGGCGCCTGGGTGGCTCAGTCGTTAAGCGTCTGCCTTCGGCTCAGGTCATGATCCCGGGGTCCTGGGATCGAGCCCCACATTGGGCTCCCTGCTCGGCGAGAAGTCTGCTTCTCCCTCTCCCACTCCCCCTGCTTGTGTTCCCTCTCTCGCTGTGTCTCTGTCAAATGAATAAATAAAATCTTAAAAAAAAAAAAAAAAGCGTTTACTTTGGGTGAATGAAGCATTTCCCAAATGTCTGACTACATAACTCCCTGCCTCCCTTTGAAGAGTTACATCCGTCCAGTGTCCACAGAACACTGTGAGCAGGACTAGAGACCTAGCGCCTGATCTGACTCTTCATGCCTACATCCCACCAGGAAGCAGGGCCTGTTGTACCTCCTTTCAACACATCTCCTGCTGTCACCTGCCCTGGATCGGACTCACACACCCCACCACCGCTGTCTCTCTTGGCCTCTCTCCTGCAAGCCTCCCCAGTCCTGTCCACCCTGCACACCTCTGCCCTGTGCCGACAGCTCCCCTTCGCATTACGGCTTCCCACTGGGAGGGAGGCACCAGGGCTGGGGAGTCAGAGTCAGGAGCATGATGGATGTGGCCCCAAGCTCCCGGCGTCCTACTTACTAGCCGAGCGAACTTAAGCGAGCCACTTAAACTGAGCCCCAGCTTCCTCGTCTCTCCAACGGTTGAGTTTAACTGTAACGCACTCATTGGTGGTGGTGGAGAAAAAATGAAAGCATGTGCTGCGAAGTGCAAGATCGGGGCCTGTCTCCTCCACAGGGCTTTCTGGAACCACTCTGATCTCCCTTGCAACAACCCACTGTGGCCACAAACCTGTCCATTTATCACTGGACTGCTCCCTAAGCGCTTCCTCTGCCTGTTGGTTTCATAAGTAGCCGAAGCCCCAGGGCTGGTTTGGGTTAATCGGTCCCTCCTTCTGCTGCCTCCACACAGGCTTCCACCTTTCTCCCGCTGACCAGCTCTTCTATCTACCCACTAGGCCCCACGCTCATAAAGTGTAGGAGCTGTGCCAGACTTGTACACCCATCATCTGCACATACCTGGCACCTGGTAGGCAGAGAGTCGGTGCTTGATGGATAACAGCTGCAGACCCCCACCCAGGAGGAGCAAGCCCCATGCTGTGCGAACCTTGCCAAGAGAACGTGTCAGGGAAACAGCAAGGGCCAAACCGATCCAGAGACCTTGCTGGTGGCAGAGTTCCTCATCAAATTACACACAGGCCAGGAAAGAGATCAGATTCCCTTGGCCAGAAACTGGCTGTTGTCTTCCAATTCTTTCCGAACAACACAGAGGAATGGAAGTCCTCCTCCACGGAAGCTCTCTTGGCCCCTCTTGCTGCAGAGTATGGGGAACACTCCGGGTTCTGATCAGGTATCCCAGGGCTGCTCCCCCCACTCCTCACCCCTCCCTCCTCTTGGGCTAAAGGCAAGTTTGGTTAATAATCACTAACGCGCAGGATCACTGAAGAGATTATGTAACTTAATGTCAGTGGCTGGCACCTAGGAGGCACTCGGCGAGTGTCAGTGCTGCCACGTTCTCTTGCCCTGTCCTTAAGTAAAGTGGGAAGCAGGGCCAGAGCGGAGTTGTTCTGGTCTAATAATAATGAAATACTGACATCTTGTGTTACAGGATAGCGGTTCTCCACCAGAAGCAATTTTGCCCCCCTTGGGGTCATTTGGCAACATCTCTCCAGACATTTTTGATTGTCACAACATGGGGAGAATGGAGGTACAACTGGTATCTAGTGAACACAGGCCAGGGACGCTGCCAAAAACCCTATAATGCACAGGACACAGCACCCCCCCCCCAACCAAGTAATTACAAATCCCAAAATGTTCAGAGTGTGAAGTCGAGAAACCCTGTTGTAGGGTGAGAGACCTCAGAAGTCCCGACCATCTGTCCATGTTGCCCCCATCGCTACTTGAAAAACCCTGCTCTCTCTAGACTCAGGCGTTAAGAGGCCACCCTGGAGGCAGTCCTGTTCTCTGGCCGCTCGCCGTCCTCCCCAAACACACATACAAACCTTCCGATGCCAGTGGACAGGATGGCAGTGGAAGTCTTTAGTTCCTCGTAGAGATCAGCGCCATTGCAGGGGAAGGCTGAGAACTGGGCCAGCAGCACCCTTCTCAGGGCGACCAGGGCCTGCGGAAGGGGCAGGGGCAACTCAGGGTGGGGCCGGGGATGCTTCAGCCCAAAGCCGCCCAGGGTACTCTGCAATGGCCGGCCAGAGGAGGGGGCAATCCCAGGGTCTCATACGCTCCCCCCACCCTACTTATCAACCTCTGGGAACCCTCTGGTCCTTTGGCTCAGGGGTGAGCATTTAGACTCACCTAGGTTTGGACCGTGGAGATGGGCAGCTCACCTTGTATGACAAGCCACATTTCTGGGCCACGTCCTCCAGGTCTGCGGAAACCAGGTCCACCACTGAAAACAAAACCCACGTGGTTGATTGGTAGGAAGGGAGGCCCGGGCTTTCCACACTGGGCTTCGCCTCTACCTAAAGTGGGGTGACGGTTCTGCCTCGGGGCAGGCAGGCTCAGGGGGCCCAGGTAAAACACAGAGCCGCAGGGCCTGGCGAGGCGCCCCGGCGCCCGGCACCCGGTGGGGGTTCTGCCCTCCCCGCGGGGCTCGGCGGGCCCCACTCCCGCCTTCCCGAGCCTCTACAGAGCGCGGAGGGGACGGCCCCTCCGGGGTGCGCCGGCGCGGGGGACGCCGAGTCCGCGCTGTGCCCAGCTGGGGGGCGCGCACGCGGTCACCTGTCTTGATCCCGCGGCTCCTCAGTTGCCCGACCGTGTCGTGGGTGAGGCCCGGGCACAGCCCGGCCCTGAGCACGCCCATGTTCCCTGGGGGCCGCGGGGGCGCCGGGCTCGGGGCTGCTTGCCCCGCGGGCACCCGCCGGGCTCTCTGCTCACGCCCGGCGGCGCCCCTTTCCGGAGGGGACGCAGGCGGCGGCGCGGAGGGGATGGCCGCCGCCGGGTCCCTGCGCTGCGCTGCGCTGCGGCCCCGCCGCTCGCGCCTCGCCGCGCTTCCGCCTTCCAGGCGCCAGGGACGGGCCTGCAACGCCATCTGCTGGCCGCGCGGCGACAGGGCGGTTGGGGCGGAGCCGCGCGCGGGCCGGAGCCACGCCACGCCCCCGCGCCGTTTCGGGCGGGCGCCCCCAGTGCTCGGCTCCCGGCCCGCCACGGCCCGCACGCGGCGCCCGCACCCGCCTCCACCCGCCTCCCCCGGGCGCGCGCGGAGACCGTGCTGCGCCCGCTTCTGTTTTAAACGCTGGGCGGCGGAGCTCGGCCAGACGGATCGTCCGTGACCTCAGGCCCCTACCCGTTAGTGATGAGGATAGCGAGGAGGAATCAAAGATACTGGGTAATTACAGATTGGATGTCAGGTGCTAAGCAGCAGCAGAGCGCAGAGAGGGCATCTGCATCTCTAATTTGGAAGGAAAAAAAACAACAGTATTTTTTTGGATGAATAGCAACAACAAAAGCCCTGCTGATGTGGAACATAAAAAATATGATTTGGCATTTTTAGATGTCCCTTCGCTTTGCCTCGTCCTCTGGAAGACATAGCACAACTTTACAGGGATATCTCCTCAGAATCCAGTGAGACCCCATTTCACAGAGGCGAAAACTGAGGCTTGGCCAGGTGAAGTCACTTGCCAAAAGTTACACAACCTGTAGGTGCAGAGCCGGACTTAGAGTGGACAAATCCACATCTGAGTGCAAAGCCAGTGCTGTTTCAATAGCCTCTCTTCCTACTGTCGAAGTTGTGTATAGGTTTTCCTATGGTAAGGTGGTTTCCTTGCGAGCAGAAAAATGTCTGGCCCATATTTGTATTCCTCTGCGGCACCCACCATTGTCACTCAACACATGAAGACACTTGGGGTGAGGATGTGGCACATTTAGAGTTCTAGCCGTAAAACCTGGCTGTATGTGGGCTGTGAGCCCCCTGAGCCATCTGGACTTTCCCTGTGCCTACCGACATAGTGGGGATTTGCTGCCTAGGATTTCTGGGTATAGAGCCTCAGCATCCTAGAGACAAAGTCCCCACTCCCAGAGACCCATTTCAGTCCCGCTTGTTTCCCAGGGACGCTGCCACCTCCCACTGTACCCAGGAGCCTTCTCTCACCACCCTGCTCCTCCTTCCCAGAGCAGCTCCGAAAGGAACAGGTGGTAAGCATTTTGAGATCTTCAGAGAGAGGCAGGGCTGTTGTAACCACAGAGCATTAGAACTGGAAGGGGCCCAAGGGGTGATGTAGTCTGTGCTTTGTACCCCACTCCTGCCATTGGCCCTGGGTAGCAGCAGCTTCAGATCAAGGGGGAGGCTGGCCCCTAATTGTTACACTCAGTGATGATTATGAAGTCAGCTCATTGCACCCCCATCCCACCTAACTAAGGGTGGGTCCACTGCCCCCAGTTTCTCTCTGCTTCCTGTCAGCTGTGTAGTGACGGCTGTGGTCCGAAACGAGATGGCATCAGAGACACTATGTAAAGTGGGAGATGGGGAGGAGACCATGCTGAAGAAGGAAACCCTCAACATTCTGAATGCACTCAATCAAATGTCGAAGCCCTTTCCAAACCCCAAGTCTATGAACAGGACCGTCACTACCAAAGGACTCCCACTTTCTGCAAGGGGCAGTTTGGTTAACTTCTTGCAGGAAGATACCGTCAATCTACTGTAAGACACAGTCTGGTCCTTTCCTCCTTCCTAAGGCCAGAGTGGAGGGGCGGGGAGAGGGGCTTGAAGAAGAAATGAGGCTTCCTTGGCCTGACACAACCCATCCCTGGACTCCCCGGGAACAGCACGTGTGTAGGTTGCACTACGGAATCCTGATCCCAAATCAGTTCTTGGAGGCTTGGAGGCCTTCTGCTCCAGAAGGCCTGGTTTTCGTCAGAGCTTTGCAGACAGTACTTCTCCTGCTTAGTCCAGCTGTGGTCCTCACCAGTCCCACACACCCCCATTCAGACACCCCATTCCATTCCCTGATGGTGCCTCTTCCTCATTCCTCTGTTTCGCTGTCTTTACCTGCCTGATTAGGTCCCCCCAATAGTCTGCCTGCCTTCAGCCTGAAGTTTACTGTTCCTCCTTATGATTTTGGGTTCTCTTTAGCTCATGCCACAAAACTCTGAGCACCTGTCAGGTGTCTGGCCCAATGTCAAGTTCTGGGAATGCAGAGCTGCAAAACACACCCCCTGCCTTCAAGGAGCTCTCTGCCTGGGGTGTGTGTGTGTGTGTGTGTTGGAGGATGCTAGGCAAGAAGCAAGAATAATATGGCGTGGTCTGTGCTACAAGACACCTTGAGGAACCAGAGGGGGCTGTCAATGTCTTGAAATTCTTAATAATTTTGAAGAAGGGGCCCCCACAAACTATGTAGCTGGTCTTGATTACTTGAAAGGGATATGGCGTCCAGTCCCTAAGGGACCTGTAAGTAAGCAGGGATGGCTAAAGTGACAGATGCTTGTAGGAAATGTCATGGTAGGAAAATATTGGGCTAGGAGCCCAAGTTCAAATCCAAGTTCTACCACTTAGATATATGACTGTAGACAAGTTAATTAAGATCAGGGATCTTCAGTCCCTCATTTGTGAAATGGGGCTAACACTCATCCAGCAGGGCTGTCAGGAAGATCATAAAAAATTGTCAAACATATAGCTCAGTGCTTAACTGCTTTCTGTGCCCACTTCAGCACTCCTGTTTTGTGGAGGGGGGGGGTTGGTGTGTGTTTTTAAAAATATTTATTTATTTATTTGTTATTTATATTTATTTATTTATTTATTTATTTATTTATTTATTTATTTTAGAGAGAGAAGACACAAATGAGTTGGGGGAGGGGTAGAGGGAGAAAGGAGAATCTCAAGCAGACTCCCCACTGAGCAGGGAGCCTGACCCAGGGCTCGATCCCACAACCACGAAATCATGACCTGAGCTGAAATCAAGAGTCGGATGCTTAACTGGGTGATGGACATTAAGGAGGTCACGTGATGTCACGAGCACTGGGTATTATACAAGACTGACGAATCACTGAACTCTACCTCTGAAACTAATAATATGCTATATGTTAATTAATTTAATTTAAATTAAAAAAAGAGTCAGATGCTTAACTGACTGAGCCACCCAGGCTCCCCAGCACTGCTGTTTTGAATAAGTGAATATAAAATAGATTCATGGGATGCCTGGCTGGCTCAGTCGGTAGAGTATGCGACTCTCTGATCTTGGGGTTGTGAGTTCGAACCCCGCATTGGGTGTAGAGATTATCTAAATAAATAAAACTTAAAAAAAAATTCCAGAGCATATCACACATAGAGTAAGTACTGGTTTGTGAAATGTGTTTTAGGTATTTTTTTAAAGATTTTATTTATTTATTTTAGAGATAGGGATAGAGAGAGAGATCGCACATGAGTGGGGGGAGGAGGGGAGGGAGAGGGACAAGCCGACTCCACTCTGAGCACAGAGCCCAGTGTGGGGCTCGATCCCATGATCCTGAGATCATGATCTGAGATGAAATCAAGAGTCAGCCACTTAACCGACTGAGCCACCCAGGCGTCCTGTGTTTTAGTTTTATGTGTATGTTTCAGTATACTAGGTAATATGTATTTACTTTGGGTCAAGGTAAAAAAAAGATTTGAAAGCCAAACTTATTAGATTCTGTACTTTATCAGTAAATAAATAAATAGAATGAAACACGTACAAGGTTTTTCTTTGTAATAGCCAAGAATTGGTAAAAATACAAATATCCATGTAATGAAAAATGTACAACAGTTAAAATGACTGAACCAAAGCTACATGTGTCAGTACAAACAATGTTGGAGCACGTGGCTGGCTCAGTCGGCGGAGTGTGTGACTCTTGGTCTCAGGGTTGTGGGTTCGAGCCCCGTGTTGGGTGCAGAGATTACTTAAAAATAAAGTCTTTTTAAAAAATAAAATTAAATATTATGAAGCACCTAGAATTTTTCAATTAAAAGAATATATTCTCTGGGTTCTGCTATGGCCCAGACAGTGTTAAAAAATAAATAAATAAATAAATAAATAAATAAATAAATAAATAAATAAAATTAAATAAACCAATGGGGAGTAAAAAAAAAAAAAAACGAGCTGCTGGTGAATATGTATTAGATGATACCATTTATTTATGTGAAGTTTTAAAATATGCAAAATAGTAGTCGATGTTGCTTTAAGGATAGCAGACATCGCTCACAAACCTATAGAGACACATGTATAATGATACACAGAAAATCTGAAATGTGCTGTACTGGTTACCGTGGAGTGGGAGGATGCGAGCTGAGGTGGGGGATAGAAGTGTCCAGCGGGCTTTAACTATACTGGTGAGGTTGTAGTTCTGAAATTTGATGGGGGCTAAGTGGAAGCTTAATATCTCATTCTTTATTTTCTCACTTTATCATGCCTTCATTTCATTTTTTTCCCAGTTTTATTGAGATACAGTTGGCATATAACATCATATCAGTGTAAGGTGTACAACATGATTTGGTGTGTGTGTGGTGAAGTGATTGCCCCACTAAGTTCTGTTTCCATCCGTCACCACACATGGTTACAGATTTGCCTCTTGTGATAAGAACTTTTAGGATCCGCTCTCTTAGCAAGTTTCAAATAGACGATATTTTTTTTTGAAGATTTTATTTATTTGACAGAGAGAGAGCGAGCACAAGCAGGGGGAGCGACAGGCAGAGGGAGAGGGAGAAGCAGACCCCCCGCTGAGCAGGGAGCCCGATGTGGGACTCGATCCCAGGACCCCCGGATCATGACCTGAGCTGAAGGCAGACGCTTATCTGGCTGAGCTACCCAGGTGCCCGACAATATAGTTATCCTACTGTATATTATGTCCCCGCTAATGTATTATTCTTTTTTTATAAGGTTGGTTTTTTTTTTTAAGATTTTTATTTATTTATTTGACAGAGAGAGACACAGGGAGAGAGGGAACACAAGCAGAGGGAGTGGGAGAGGGAGGAGCAGGGAGCCCGATGCGGGGCTCGATCCCAGGACCCTGGGATCATAACC